TTTTTTTTTTCTGTGTGTGTGGTTACTGGGGGTTGAACCAGGGGCACCTACCACTGAGCTATACCCCAGGCCTTTTTATTTTTGAGACAGGGTCTCACGAAGTTACCGGGCTGGCCTCAAACTGGTGATCCTCCTGCCTTGCCTTCTGAGTAGCTGGGGTTACCTTTATCTGTCCCTAAGCCACCCCTAGAACAAAATGCACACCCCTCAGCCCCCAAGACTTAGGGTGTCCAGGGACCCTCCCACTGCCAGCTCTCACCCCCACCACATCCCTAGGTCACGCTGCTTCAGCTGCACCAGCCCCTTCAATCTCCTTAAGCCTGCCTCAGGGCCTTTGCCTGTGCTGGGCCCTCTGCCAGGGATCTCTTTCTTCCACCTCTCCCTGGTGGCTGCTGGTTGACATCCATTCTTCAGCTCATATATCACCTCCTCCAAGAAGCCCTTCTTGCCCAGCCAGGGGGCCTGACGCATGCTCACCCACCCCCATATTTATCCCCTTTCCTGGTTTAACATCCATCTCCCCCGCCATGGGCCCCGAGCACGCCCACGGCCAGCCCAGGCCCGGCACGCCACAGGTGCTCTGCGGGTGGAACGCTCCGTGCCAGGAACCGGGGGTTTGGGGAGCACTAGGAAGCTCCCACTTTAGAGATGTCCTGGGAGGGGAGATGAGACCAGCCCCAGGGGCAGGCACTGGGGGTCCCAGCTCGGTCCCAGGAGCTCCGTGTGGGGTCCCACCTCACAGTGAGGGAAGGGGATTCTCTCTGCCTCCGTCTCCTAATCTGGAACTGGGGTCCCCTCTTTCTCCCCTGTTCCCTCTGCTTTCTGCAGACGGCTGGGGGGGACCCTGGGTCGGCATGTCCCCGAGTCCCTCGTTCCACGTGGACCCAGCCTGTTCTTGAACCCGAGTCTCTCAGAGGGGCCAGCAGCCTCCTGTCCTCCTGGCCCCCGCGGCCACCTGCCCCTGGTCTTCCCTCCCGCCTCGGTTCCCCAGGACGTCACTGGTCCGGCTGCGGAGGTGTGGCCTGGCCCCTGCCTGCTGGGCGGGAGAGCAGCCTGCCTTTCCCTGTCCCCAGCCTGGGGTCCCTGTTCCCAAGGCAGTGGAGCTCCGGGGTGGCCCCGGGCTCCTCCCCACGACCTGGGCTCCAGGCCCCAGCCACCGCCGCCCCACGGCTCACCTCGGTCATCAGGAAGGACAGGGACGTCCTGCTGCGCCTCATGCTGCGGCTCCGCCTGCACTCGGCCCCCTACCGCTGCCCCTGGGCGCCCTGGACAATCCAGGTAGCGGGAGTCACACCGCGTCACCAGTGTGGGGACTCTGTCCAGGGACACAGCCCCCACATGCTCCTCCCCAGCAGCCTGGCAGGCGCTGAAGGGGTCTCCCCGCTCCAGGCCCCGGAGGGACACCTCCAGCTCCTGGCGCAGCTCGGGGTTCGGGGGACTCGGGAGGCCCCGCCCACCACTGGGACCCCCGCAGACGCAGAGGCTCTTGCTCTGTGTGGGTGCTCTTCCCTGCTACCAATCGAGACCTGTGACTTCCCAGGGGCCTGCCCAAGAAGGTCCCCACACCCCACAGAGTCCCTCAACTGTCTGAGCGCCTGGCTGCCAACAGCCCAGAGCCACAGGTGCGTGACCCAGGGTGGGGGGGGCAGAGGGCAGAGGACGAGGAGGAGGGGAGGAGGGAAGGCAGGGGCTGGGCAGGGTCCTGTCCAGCTGGTTGTGTGTTTGCAGGTGACAAGGAGAGACGGGTGACAGGGAGAGACTCAGAGAGACCCAGGGAAGGGGGCGGGAGAGGAGGCGGGGAGAGGTGCCCCCCCAAGGCGCCATGGGAATCTTACCGGCGGAGCCCAGGAGATGTGGCCTCAGGAAATTGGAGATGCCACTGGGGCTCCCTGGGATCCCCAGAAGCCTGTCCACTCTGGCCGGCCACAGCAGGCCCATCAGCAGCTCTCGCTGAGACCAGCCACAGCCAGAACCGGGGCCCCTGACGGGGTCTGGCTGGGGTGGGGGCTCTGAGGCTGTGGGCAGGAGGTGTCACCCGCCCCCACTTCCAGGTTAATGATTCACCCCTCCCCCGCTGCCCGCCGGCCCCGCCCCCCAACTGCAGCGGAGTGTGACCGGCCCCAGGGGCCTCTGCCCTCCATGTGCCCTGAACTTGACCTCAGCCGCTGAAGGGTCCTCGCACAGCCAGGTCCTCAGGGAGACAGTGTGGGGACAGACAGGTCCCAGCCCAAAGCACGTGGCCAAGACCTCAGTGCCCCCTGGGGCTGGAGAGGCCAGGGGTCCTGGAAGTGGTGCGGGCAGCAGCCAGGTCCCCAGGCAGAGGCTCGCCCCTCTGGGGACTCAGTGTTCCCCTGTGTCCTGGGAGGGAGCAAGGGGACCTCACCTCGGGCCCTGAGAAGCAGGACTGAGGGGACTCAGGGAAGGAGGGGGGCAGGGAGCCTGGACGTCTTGCTCTCTGGGTGTCTCGGGCACTTTCCTGCCCCCTGACCTTTGCTCAGGCCGTTCTGCCTCCTGGGAAGTTTTCCCCACCCGCCCCGCCCCAGCCCGTCCCCGGAGCTGACCGTCTTTCCCAGGTTTCGGTCCACTGCATTCTGATGTTTGCGGGCTGGAAACACCCTCATGGACTCCCACCTTTGGGGTAAAACCCATCCTCCCTCCCACAGCCCAGTGACCCCCACAACTTCTCTCACCCACTGTGACCCTGCTCACCTCCTGGATGTTTATCAAACACTTCCAAGTTTTCCTACCACAGGGCCTTTGCAGAGGCTGAGTCTTCTTTCTAGGACATCGTTTCTGGCTTTCTCCCAGGTGGCTCCTTCCCACCTTCAGGTCTCTGCTTGGACATCACCTTCTCAGACAGAGCACCCCACCCTTCTGCAAACCTGGATACACCAGACCCTGGGTGGGGGGCAGCATCAGCCCCAACCTGTGACTCTCTGACCCTCAGTGCCGTCTGGTGATCACTGAGGCCCTCGGGTTCTTTTACTTATTTATTTATTTGTTGGTTGGTTGGCAGGTTGGTACCTGGGACTGAACCCAGGGCTGCTTAACCACGGAGCCACATCCCCAGCCATTTTTTTGTATTTTATTTAGAGACAGGGTCTGGCTGAGTTGCTTAGGGCCTCATGAAATTGCTAAAACTGGCCTCCAACTTGGCGATCCTCCTGCCTCAGCCTCCTGAGCCATTGTGCCCAGCCATCTCCTGGTTCTTGTCTGACTCTCCCTCTCCCTATGACGGACACGCCCCCAGCACAGGCTATGGCACACGTGAGCACCCCCATAATGTGGGTCACATGAATCTATGACTCAGGAAGCCTCCGATGAACCATAGGCACTTTGTTTATTTTTTAGATGGGGGTCTCACTCTGTTGCTCAAGCTGGCCTCAAACTCCTGGGCTCAAGCGATCCTCCTGCCTCAGCCTCCAAGCAGCTGTGGCTACAGATCCTGGCTGCTGTGCAGCACGGGAGGGGGCTGGTTTCTTCAGCTGCCCCAGCCCCACCTGAGCCCCGGTCTCTCTCGGCCCCAGGACGGTCACTCTGGTGTGCGGCGGGCAAAGGATGACCTTTGGCTCTCACTTCCCTGGAGACGGAACACACAGTGGTCATCAGGCTGGGCGGCAGGGCTCGCCCTGTGTGGGAAAGCCCTGCCCTCCCCGCCCCTGGCCAGGCGGAGCCCCCCACTCACCAGGGACTCTTCCTCCAGCCTATGGAACCTGGATGCTTCTCGGTGACAGGACCTCACGGCCATCACCACGGACCCGATGAGGAGGACAGAGACCAACAAGCACACGGCCACCACCACGCCTGGGTTTCTGTGTGACGTGGGGACGCCAGGGTCACCTGGGGAAGAGGCCGGGGTCAGCCCTGAGCCCCACCCTCCCCCGTCGGGGACACCCACCAGGGCCCTGAGCTGTTGTCTTTGGTGGCACTGGGTTGGAACCCAGGGCCTGGTGCCAGGTGGCACCAAATATAGAATTGATCACCTGTCACTTTTGCACATGGGTATTGCGGTCTCTCCTGCACAGAGCGGTGGGTCCCCAGGTCCCCGTATACTGGACCCTTCATTGATGGGCACAGACTCTCCCCTAGAACCACCTTGGTCCAGGGGTGGGGGAGGGGGGCCCTTCCGCGCAATCTCCTGGGTCTGTGTCTCCCCCTTGTGGTCAACCCCAGAACTGCATCCAGGTACCCCAGCTAGCTCTTACTTCCTCCCACCCCCCCCTGCCACCAGGAGCCCCAATTTCTTCCTACTTACCCTGGCCAGGGCTGGGGGGAGTGGAAATCCAGTGGGAGTTCAAGTGTGTGGAGCTGGGTTGAGTGGAATAGGTGAACTCTAAACTGGGGGGGCCAGCACTGGGGTGCGTGACTGTCCCTGGTGGTGCAGACGCGGGAGCTGTCTCTGGATTTGAGGAGCTAGGGCTCATGTGGCTGGTGGGGCTGGGCTCTGTCTGGCTTAGGGAGCTGGTGGGGGTGGACTGTGAATTTGGGGGGCTCTTGTGGCTGGTGGGGCTTGGCTCTGTCTGGCTTAGGGAGCTGGTGGGGGTGGACTGTGAATTTGGGGGGCTCTTGTGGCTGGTGGGGCTGGGCTCTGTCTGGCTTAGGGAGCTGTTGGGGGTGGACTGTGAATTTGGGGGGCTCGTGTGGCTGGCGGAGCTTGGCTCTGTCTGGCTTAGGGAGCTGTTGGGGGTGGACTGTGAATTTGGGGGGCTCGTGTGGCTGGCGGGGCTTGGTTCTGCCTGGCTTAGGGAGCTGATGGGGGTGGACTCTAAACTGGACGTGGGGCTGGTAGGAGTCGCTGTCATCGCTCTGTTTTCCAAGATCAATGTAAAGGCAACACCTGAGAATAAAGAAGACAGGGTTTGGGAGCCTGTGATTAGACCAAAGGGGTGCTGGCACTGGGGCAGGGACTCCGTGGCAGGACAGGTACTGAGCATGTGCAAGGCCCTGGGTTCCATCCCCAGCTCCCAAAAGAGAGAGAGGAGAGAGAGGGAGCCCGCTCAGCGCCTCCCAGGACCCCACAGGAGAGTTCAGAGAGAAGCAGGCTCCCTGGAGAGGTCCCCCCCCCACCGCAGGATTCAAGTTCAAACCCAGGTGTGTGGGGGGGGCTTTCCCAGTCACTGCCTCTTGCCCCAGAGCTCTAGAAGCCCCCAGGTGGAGGAGTGGCTGTCACCCAGGCGGAACAACACCTTGAAACTCTGTGGGACTCCAGTCAGTCTCCCCGGTGGTGCGCGCCCATGTTCCCAGCTACTCAGGAGACTGAGGCAGGAGGATTGCAAGTCTGAGGCCAGCCTGTGTTCAAGCCCCAGTAGCAGGGACAGGATGACTTTCTGGGACTCGGCTTCCTTTACTGTGAAACGGAGATTACAGAAAGCCCTTGCCTCAGCCCACCCAGGTCTGGGATAACGGTGAACAGTGACTCTCCGTCCCACAGCAGAGCCGCCTCTGCGCTTCAGGGATCTGGGGGGTCTCCAGGGCTAAACCAAGAGTTGGTACCAGGAATTGAACTCAGGGGCACTCGACCACCAAGTCACATCCCCGCCCTATTTTGTATTTTGTTTAGAGACAGGGTCTCACTGAGTTGCTGAGGCTGGCTTTGAACTCGCGATCCTCCTGCCTCAGCCTCCCGAGCTGCGGGGATTGCAGGCTGCGCCACAGGCTGGCCTAAACCCGAGAGCTCTTGCTTTTGTCTCTTGTTTGTCCTTGGCAGTGCTGGGGATGGAACCTGGGCCTCACGCGTGCCAGGCCATTGCTCTGCCACTGAGCCTCACCCCAGCCCTACCCTCGGGGCTTTAATGGGGAGACAGAGAGACCTGGGCCCTGGGATCCCTCGGTGGGTCACGCTTCTGAAAAGCCCTGCCCGGCTCCAGCCACACCCAGGTCCCCCCCCTCCCGTCTGGGCATGGAGCCGAGAGGCAGACATCTCCCACGGTGGCTTCCTGCCCAGCTCCAGGTGGCTGGGCACCTCAGGTGCTCGCAGGTTCATTCCCGGTGGCCTCTGGCCACACCCCACCTCACTGTGACTTGGGCAGATCTGGGCTTTCTCCCTGAGTCACCAAAGGCAGCAGAAATGCGGAAATAACACTTAGCCCTGGCCCTGGGGCTGGGGGAGGCGGATCTGCAGCCCCCTTCCCCCTCGGCCTCCCAGGCCCCAGGGGCACACAAGTGAGTCTAGAGGAGGTTGGAGTAACACCCCAACGTCACCCTCATTTTAAATGTCAGGAATTACAGCTCATCGTAGAAGGACCTTCAGAGAGTCCAGGAATAATAATAGGTCAGCTTCCCCAGGCTGCCTCCCACCATCATTTGAGAAGGAATCCGGACTATGAGAGGTTTCTACTGAAGTGAAGATGAGTCAGGGGCCCTAGTGAACCCCAAGACTCGCCAGGACTCTAAAGAAACCGAGTTTTTAAAGTAAACTGAGGAAAAGCAGGGGGCGAGGAAGAGGAAGAGGAGGAAGGTGCAGGCCCTACTGAGCACTCAGCACAGACGAGGTGCTCAGGAGCTACTGGAAAGTTGGCCAGAAGTGAACGTAGGGCTGCTTCTAGATGGTGTGCCAGGACGGGAGGCCGGCGTGCGCCAAGTCAGCGGGGTCTAATCTGCGTCTGGGACGGAGCCTCAGCTTCCTGAGCTATGGAAACTGGGATGAACAAACCCCAGCCTGCAGTAAACATCCCAGCCCAGGTGACCTTTGCTCTGGCATTGTCGTTTGGGGCTGAAGGCTGGCAGAGGGAGCCATGGCAGGGTGGAAGGATGACTGGGGGAGGGAAGCTGGGAAGCTATCTCATAGGGCAGCAGGAGGGAATTAAGTCAGACACTAAGAAGAACTTCTCCTGGGAGCTGTGGAGGCTGAATGACCAGGAAGTGAACCCCTGATACCAGGCCCTTCCCATGGCCCTGGTGTCCTGGCCAATCTCCCTTTGGGATGGGGCTCAAAGAAACGGGTGAGAGACAGAGCTTCCAACTGGTTGTCTGGTGTCCCTGGGGCTTGTCACACAGAGGTGCTGGAGGTGTTCTCTCGTGTTTCTGGGGAAAGGGCAGGTATCCCTGTGAGACTGGGAGAGCAGTGCGACCTCAGCAGGGGCTCAGAGACCAGACAGTGGGCCCTGTCCCCACCCCCCACCAGCCTTCTGGAAGCTCAGCCTCCCTCTTACCTGCCCTCACCTGTAAAGGCAAGAGTAGAGGAATTCCCTGGCGGCCTCCGTAGCAGCGCCAGAGCCAGGAGCAGAAGCGGCAGCAGCTGGGAGCTCGCCATTTCTGAGCGGGGAGGGCCACAGCAGGCTCTGCCAGGTGTGTGGCCAGGTGCGCCGCCAGGTGCGCGGCACGGTGCGCTTTCCGCCGCAAGCGCGCCCCTGCTGGTGGCAGCTGGTACTGCGCAGAGACCAGGCACCGACGGGGCTCAGGGGTGGCGCCCGCTCCTCCAGGGTGCCATTCCCTCCCCAGTCCTCCGGGAACCGGCCTGGACGTGAGGTGTGCCAGGACGGGAGCCCTCCAACCCCCAGCACCCCTGGCGCTCTGCTCCCCTTCCCCCCCGCAGCCCCCACCCCTCTAACGTCCCCTCTGGGGCTCCCTCCACCCTGCGTGACTCTTCTCTGTCCAGGCTGCCCACACAGAGCACCCTGCCCCTTCCCTTTTCTGCAGCTCCATCCTAGGCCCCATGAGGCTGGGAATGTCACTGTCCCCCTCTGTGGGTGGGGCCTGGCACCCTCCCAATCGGGATGACCTGGAACCTGCCAGTACTTCCAGCCCCAGGTGCCCCAAGGCCGAGGTGTTCAAGGTGGCCGCTCTGGGCCAGGTCCCCAGATTCAGGTTTCTGAAGTATGCAGGGGGCAGCTTTCATCCGGGAGTGACCGGCCAGCGGCCACCCTGCTAGCCATGGAAGGATAGGATGGCACTTGAGAGGCCGTCCTGGCAGACCGTGACCTTCAGGACAGACCCACGTGGCTGGAAGCCTTGGGGCCCCCTCCCCCTGGGCTGTTCCGGATCCCCTCCCCCAATTCCCAAGACGCCCCATGAACCCAGAACACGTGACCCGGGACCCAGGCTGTGGAGGACTTTATTCATCAGACCCAGAGAGCCACACGGCCCTTCCCATATGTCCCTCTGCTGGCACGCAGCCAGGGTCCTAGACGCCGGGCCAGCGCGCGGACCGGGTGCTGTGGGTGCTGTGTCGCGAGGGATCCCTTGAGCAGTCCCGCGGGGCTCCCGACCCCAGGAGCATGTCCGTGGTGAGGCAGCTCCGGGTGTAGTGGCCTCTCCAGTTGGACTGAACCATCTTGGCTGCCGACTGCTGCTGCCGGAGCTGGCGGCGGGTCTTGAAGCCCCTCCAGGCCGACTGGATGGCCATGGCCGCTCTGTTCTGACCGGGTGACCTGCAGAGGCCCTGGGAGGCCTTCGGGGAGCTGCAGGCCCACAGCAGGCCCCCCTGGCTGGAGATGCTGCGGCCCATGCCGTGCACCACCCGCGTGGGCAGGGTGTGGCCGCACATGTGGCACGTGCGGGGACTGGAGCCCACGAGCATCACCACGCTGGGCGGGTTGCCCAGCCCGGGGCTCAGCGACTGGCAGAGGCTGCAGATGTGAGGCTGGCAGGACTGGAAGCAGCGGTGGTCAGAGCCCAGCCTGGCCTCACTGCCCGGGAAACAGCGGGGGTCGGGGGCGGCCCGGACCTTGCTGCCCAGCTCCACCCACACGGCCGGGAGCAGCATCTGCTGGGCACAGTCCCTGCGGGTGCAGTAGCCTCGCCAGGCGGCCTGGATGATGGTGGTGGCTCGGTACAGCCGGGCCAGGTTCCGTCGCACGCGGAAGCCACGCCAACTCGCTTGGATGACGGTGGCGCACTGATGCCACACCCGGATGGTACTGCGGACCAGGTAGCCGCGCGCGAACGCCTGGATCACCACCGCGGCCCGGACGAGGATCTTCTCCATGGTCTGCACGGACACCATCAGCTCCCCCGGCTGTCTGGGGCTCACCGCCGCCACGCTGCCCAAGGTGTCCCACGGCACGGGGCCCCTGGCCGTCTCCCACGTGTTCTGGGGGGCCACAGCGTGGTCCATGGGCCTGACGGCTACGCTGGGAACACCACTGGCCAAGCCAGCATCCACGGGGCCCTGGAGTACAGTGGGGACCAGGGATGGCTTGTGAAGGCCAGCTACAGGACCCACGGCATGACGGGAGATCTGGCCCTGGTGGACAGAGGGGGTCGGAAATGGCTTGTGATGTCTAGTGACAAGATGCACGGACTCATGGGAGTCCTGTTCGAGGAGGGGCCTCCAGAGGCCACTGGGTGAAGTTGTGTAGCCCAGAGACACCCTCCGAACCTCGGGGGACAGTCTAGTGACACTGGGGTCATAGGCTGTATCACTGGGTTGGACACTGGGTGTCCCGCCCACCCACAGTTCACAAGGGGAGTGTCTGCGGCTGCCCAGAGGGGACTGGGTTTCCTGCCGCTGCACCTGATTGGAGGGCACCACCGTGGTCATAGAACCTTCTAGCAACTCGGGAATAAGTTTACCATGAATGAGTCGGTAGTATTTTTTAGGGCGGAGAGACTTAAGGCTGGTCTGGGTCAGGTTCCCGGACACTGGTTTCTGGAGTGTACTGGGGACAGGTGCCATCTGGGAGTGACCGGGCACGGCTTTTTTAACCAAGGGTTGATAGGGCTGCCCGTGGGGGGCCACGTTGCCGGTCCCTGACCTCCGGAGCACACCTGAGCTCTCCGTCCTGGCCACGGACCCTGCATATAAACTGGAGGCCACGGGACTGGCCAGATGGGGTGACATCAAGACGATATCAGAAGTCAGTGAGCCCTGGCTTGGAGGTCTCATGTGAGTCATGGACTCGGGCTGCAGAGCGGAGAAGTCGTCAGAGACCACGGGAGTCAGGGGCTGTGGCATGGCCCTGTCCACTGCAGTCCCCAACTGCAGACTACGGGCCCTGCTGGTGGTGATGAGGTAGGTGCTGGGGGGCCCCCTGGGGCTGGCCGAGTCGGGTTGGAGGCTTGTGGAGAAGCTACTGGTCATCGAGTGCCTGGCCCGGAAAGGGATGGGAGCTATGCCGCTGGCTTGGCCGGGAGCCCTCTGGCCCAGCAGTGACATCTGGCCTTTGGGAAGTGTCTCCTCTGCCCGTGGGGGCCCTCGAGGAGTCTCGGCGTAATGGTCCGTGGGGCTCTGGTACATCCAGGGGGTCACCTCCAGGACCTTGGATTTGTTGGACTCTCTGTCGGATCCCGATTCCTGGGCTAGGGCCTCACCTAACTCTCTCGGTTTCAATTTGCTCGGGTCCTCTCTGGTCCCCAGTGTCAGTATCCTAGGGTCCTGAATAAGGGGTGAGGCTCTTGACAGAACTGTGGGCACTCGCTGCTGACCCCTGGTTGTGCCCTGGGCTCCTGAGGCCTGAGGGTGAGCCTGGGCCAGGCCAGCGGCATGGGCGGCCTGGGCGGCCTGGAGCAGGGCCGCAGGGCCCTCCCCGGCGCCGTGGTAGGGCCGGGGGGTGAGCCCGATGAGCATGGACCCCTGGGGAGGACTCTGGACCCCGCTTTTCACAGAACCAAGAGGGACGCCTGGGCCGACCCCGTGGGCCACCGAACCCGGGGACAGGCTCGGAGCAGTGAACCTAGACACGGGCCCCATGGTCAGGCCCAGCCTCTTCTCTTTAGCTCCCGATGTCGCCAATTGATGAGAGGCCACCCTACCCGCTCCTGTCCCTGGGGGGAGACTGTGGGCCATGCCACTGGCCGTGGGGTCTAGAAGACGACTCTGGGCCACGCCAGTGACCACGGCCCCCCGGGGAAGGCCCTGACCCATACCCCGGATCACAGAGCCTCGGGAAAGACTACAAGCCATAAAGTCAGCCACAGCGTTGGGGACCATGGCTGGGGTCAGCCGACGGCCTGCAGAACTTGAGGCCGGGCGACCGCTGGCTGTCCCCATCACAGAATCCTCAGGGACAATACGTGCATACGGGTAACTAGATGGGACACCTGTGGGCACGGCGGGCAGCTGGTGGTCTAATGGCACTGGCAGCGGGATGGTGGCCTGAGAGGTTCTGAGGCCCAGATGAAACAGGGAGAGCGGGTCCTGGCTCGTACCCAGTCTGCCGGGCAGCGTGACACGGGGACGGCTGGGGTCCATCCCCGAGGCCATGGGAGTTTCTCCATGAGTCAGAGAGACCCCTCTCTCCAAGACCTGGGACGCCATGGGAACCAGGCCATCCGTCACCTGACATGGGCTCGGGCCTATGGAAGGCACCATGTTCTTCTGGAACATGCTCCCGGCCAGGCCCGCGGGGGTAGCCCCCTGGGACAGACTGAGCAGCATGCCAGCGGCTGCGGGCCCCTCAGAGGAGCAGGTGGACATGCCCTTGAGCCAAGTCGAATGGAACATGTTGGGCCCTTGGGTCGCCTCCTTGGTCAGATCCGTGTGGTAGAGGTTGGGAGCGGACAGGGAGACCGCCGTGGGGTGCCTCCCCCACCCACTGGCCGGCTGGTGGAGCCCAAGGGACACCTTGCTGAACTGAGCGTCGTGCAGGTTTGAGACCACCCTATCTGCCACGGCGGGGTCCTCACACGTGCCCACCTCGACGTCCAGAGGAGGCTGGTGCAGACCCAGGCCCAGCCTCCCAGGCACGCAGGAGTAGGACCTGCCCGAGCCGAGGGACAGGAAGATGGACGGAGGGCACAGGCCGGGGGCACCCGCACTCACTCGTGAGGCCTGCAGGGTCGGGTCCACCCGGGGCCCCGGGCTTGGCTCACAGAGACCCCGGCCCACCCCATAGATCACGGATGGCTGGGAGAGACCACAGGCCAATCCGGTGGCCACGCAGGGCTGGGACAGGCTCAGGGGCCCCAGATGAGCCATGGAGGCCTGGGCCAGAAGAGGGGAGGCCCCGGGAGCCAGAAAGGGGTGGTTGGCCCAGGTTGGCCTGGGGACAGGGGGACTGGGTGGAGGCGTTTGGATAAGGCTGGGGGCCACCGGTTGGTGAGACACAATGGGATACCCTCCACTGGCCAACACGGGATGGGCTAGGCTTGGGGCCACCTCACTGGCCACAGCCGGTGGGGCCAGGCCTTGGGATACTCCCCAGGGCACAGGGTGCTGGGCGAAGCTTGGGGACGCCGTGTGGGCGATAAAAGGCGGAGCAAAGATCGGGGACACCTCACTGGCCACCGGTGGCTGAGCCAGGTAGGGGTGCATCCCACCGGCCACGGAGGGGTGGATAAAGCTTGGGGGTACCCCACTGGCCACGGATAGATGGGCCGGGCTGGGAGCCACATGAGTGGCCAGAGGTCGGTGGGACAGAATGGGAGATAAGCCACCAGCCACCAGTGGGTGAGCTAGGCTGGGGGACACCCCATTTGTCATAGAAGGATGGACCAAGCTTGGGGACATCCCAATAGCCATACACAGTTGGGCCAGGCTTGGGGACACCCCACTGTCTATAAAAGGCTGGGCCAGGCTCGGAGCTACTGCATAGGCTGTGGACTGGTAGGACGGTCTTGGGGACACCCCGCTGGCCACAGGAGGTTGAACTAGGCTCTGAGACATCCCACTGGCCATCGGTTGGTGAGGTAGGCTTGGGGACAGCGCACTGGTCATCGGTTGGGGAGGTAGGCTTGGGGACAGCCCACAGGTCATAGAAGGCTGCTCAAAGGTGGGGGACAGCCCACTGGCCATAGAAGGCTGGGCCGCTCTTGGAGACGCTCCACGGGCTGCACATCGTTGGGGTGGGCCTGGGGACCCCCCACTGGCCACAGGTTGATCTAGACTCGGAGCCATCCCACTGGTCAGAGATAGGTGAGGTGGGCTTGGGGACTGGCCAATACTTGGGGATACCCCAGGGGAAACAGAAGGATTGGCCAAGCTTAGGGACATCCCAATGGCCATAGGAGGTTGGGACATTCTCAGAACCGTTCCTTGGGCTGTAGATCTTTGGGGTGGCCTTGGGGACACCCCATGGGCCATAGAAGGCTGGGCAAAGGTGGGGGACAGCCCGGTGGCCATGCAAGGTTGAGCTAGGCTTTGGGACACTCCACTGGCCACAGATGGGTGGGGTGGGCTTGGGGTCATCGAAGGCTGGGCAAGGGGCGGGGACACCTCACTGGACATCAATGCATGAGGGAGGCCAGGGGACACTCCACTGGTCAAAGATGGTTGGGCGGGATGTGGGGACATCCCACTGGCCATAGAAGGCTGGCCAGGGTTTGAGGACATCCCCTGGGCCACGGGAGGTTGTTCAAGAAGCTGTGCCATCCCAATGGCTATAGAAGGCTGGGCTGGGCTTGGGGTCATCCCGCTGGCCACAGACTTATGGGGAAGGTCTGGGGACACCTGAACAGTCATAGATTGTTGGGCAAGGCTTGGGGCTGTCGCACTGGCCGTCGATGGGAGAGCTGGGCCAGGGGACACCCCAATGGCCAAAGATGGCTGGGCCGGGCCAGGGGACTCCCGACTGTCCATAGACGGCTGGGTTGGGCTGGGGGAGACCCCACTGGTCAGAGAAGTTTTAACAAAACTTGAGAACACCCCGCTGACCACAGGTAGCTGAGCTGGGCTTGGGGACAACCCGTGGTCCACAGAAGGCGGGACAAATCTCGGGGATACTTGACTGGCGTTGGATGGCTGGGCTAGACTGGGGGACGTTTCAGTGCCCAGAGACGGCGGAGCCAGGTGTGGGGGTGCCCCAGTGGCCACAGATGACTGGACTAGGCCGGGGGGCGGTCCAGTGGCCATAGATGGCTGGGCTAGGCTGGGGGACACCCCACTGCCCACAGGTGGCTGGGCAAAGTTTAAGGACACTCCAATGGCCACAGAAGGTTGAGCCAGGTTTGGGGACACCCCACTGGCCAAAGGTGGCTGAGCTGGGCCGGGGGTCACCCCACTGATCTCAGATGGGTGGCTCTGTGTGGGACCGACCCCATCGGTCCTAGCTATAGGGACCAGGCTGGTGGAGACCCTACTGGCCTCAGATAAGTGGCCGGACCTTGGGACTATCTCACTGGCCATAGACGGGGGGGCTTTGCTAGGGGTCTCCCTGCCAGTCCCAGAGGTACATACACCTCCAGAGGCCACCTCGCTGCTCGAGGACGTGCTGGGGATTACTAGGAACACCCTGCCACCCACTCTTGGCTGGGGTGGGCTTGAGGCTGGTCTGCTGGTGGCCAGTGGCTGGGCTCTGGTGGCGGGCACCTGAATGCACACCGTCGGCTGGGACAGGCTTCGGCTCAGCCTGCCGCCCACTGGCAGCTGGCAGAGGATTGACTTGGCTAGGTTGGGGGCTCCCCGGCTGGCCGATAGAGACTGAGACTGGTTAAGAGCCAGCTTGGTGGCCAGAGATGGCTGCTGGTGCTCCACAGGGACCACAGTGCCCAGAGACAGACTTCTCCTCAGCCCTGGCCGGAAGGTCTCCTGAGAGGCTCTCTCCACCAAGTCCAGGGAGCTCTGGCCCGGGGAGGGCCTGTTCTTCTTCTGTTCCTCTGAGTCCCAGTGGACACTCAAGGCCGTGTGGCTGGACACTGGGCCACGGCTCAGGACTGGGGTGAGCGGGGGGACAGTAGGGGGGCGCCAGCAGAGGCTGGGGATCTTCTGCCCGGGGCTCACTCTTTCGGGTTTTTCTGGATCCACGAGCCTCTGGCATCTCCCCTTGTCGTCCTGAGCGGGGAGGGCCTCGGGCCGGGGGGCCTGGTCTGCGAGGCCGGCCTGGGCCTGGTCCACCAGGTCCACAGCGGTCAGGCTGGCCACGGACAGGGCGGAAAAGCTGGGGGAGCTGCAGCTCTGCAGAGAGCTCTGGGACTCGCTGTTGTTCTGCCTGGGGACCGCGGAGCCCGGAGTGAAGTTTCTGGTCAGGACGTTGTCTGGGTGCTGGGGCAAACTGGACACCAACTCATTGAGAAGGGACATTTGGTGACTAGCCACATGCTCCCGGGGACGGGGAGGGTTCCTTGTTAGGGCCCCCCTGGGTCTAGGGGTGGGTGTCCAGGGAAGGCCGCGTCCCAGCATGATGGCCGGGGGACCTGGGTACAAACTGCCACCTGCCGGGCACTTGGGTGCCTGCACCTTGCTCACCATGGTGGCCCTCATGGAGCTCGAGGTCATGTTGGTGACGACCTGCTTGGGACCATGCAAGGCCGGCTTGTGACATGGAGGCTGGGGCCTCCTCCTCGGAGCCTCCTCAGGGGCCTTGCATAGCTGATTCTGACCTCGGATCACTGAGCGGTGATGGGAGTGTTTGGGGGACACCCTGCTGACCCCCGAAAACTGACACCAGCAAGCGGCATCCTGACAGACGGGGAAGGACGGCTGGGAATGGACCGCCCTCCTGCCTCCCACGCTGCCCGGAGGTCGACCAAAGGCCCCGCTGCCCTTCCCTGACAGCGCCCACGAGTGAGAGGCCACCCTGCTGACCACCTGTGGCCTGTGGGAGCTCGGGGTACTGTCACATGTCACGGATGGCTGGCTTGTGCTGGGGCCTATGCCGTTGACAATGAAGGACTGCCACAGGCGGGGGGGTGGCTGAGCGCGGGGCGCCTTAGGCAAGCGGGGGCCCTCCACACCCGCTGTGGCGGGGCTGGCCCCTGGGGTCAGCCACCTGCTTCTCTTTCTGATGCTGGGGCTCAGATACGAGACCCCCGCGGGCCCCCTCCCCCAGGGCTGTATGAGGTCCAGGCCCATGACCATGGGATACTGGGAGATGCTGGGGACCATCCTACCGGTTAGGGACACGCCCACAGGGAACAGTGTCGAGCAGGGTGACCCCTCCCACGTGGCCCCATCCCCCATCTCCTCCAGGAGCCCGGCGTGCTGGCCCCTGGTGAAGTCCTCCCAGCCTCCAACCTGGGAGACCCTGACCTTGCTGGGCTGCGGTCTCCCGGGGCCCACGGCAGATCCCCACGTGGCCGACGCGTTCCCCCGGCAGTCCACCTCCACCGAGGCGGGCAGCAGAGTCATCCCGCTGCCCACAGCTTTCGAGGAGGCCTTGGGGAGGATGGCTGCAGTCCTCAGGGCTGCCTGGGACAGAGACTGGCTGAGGACAGCGCCCAGCTCCCCCTGACACAGGGCTTGACCGAGGGCCGCCCGCTCCTCGTCGGTCAGGGCCTTGCTGAGCACTTCGGCCAACTTGCCCTGCATGACCTTGGTGAGTTCTGAGCGCAGTTCGCCCCGGGACAGCGCCCGGGAGAGGGTGATGCCCAGTTCACCCCAGGACAACGCCTTCACCAGGGCCATGCCCAGCATGCCCTGCGGCATCGCCTTGGTCACAGTGGTGCCCAGGACATCCTTGGACAGGGCTTGGTTCAGAGCGGCCCGCACTTCTCCCTGGGAGAGGGCTTTGGCCAGCAGGGCCCGGATGTCCTCCTGGGAGCCCAGCACAGCGGCCAGCTCCGCGCACAGGGAGGCGATCTGGGAAGCCGCCGCCTCCTGACAGGGCACCGCCTGGCTGGCCACCGGCGGCTGGGCCCGCGCTGTTCCGCTGTCACCCCAGGGCTCGATGTTGCACGTGGGGTGTCCGGTGGAGGTCATCAGAGGTACCAGCATGCCCTGGGCCTCTGAGGCCACTGGGCAGGGGCCGTGCGTGGTCTTGCTCTGTACGTGGCCTTGGGGCTGGAGCTGGGCAGGTCTGTCCTCGGACTTGGGTCGGGACAGGAAGCTCATCGCCCCCAGGTGCTGGCAGGAGGGGACAGACGCCCTGGACCCGGTCAGGAGGGGCTGGGACTGCGTCTTGCTGTTGAGGTCCGTGGACTGGCGAGCTGTGTAGAAGGACTTGGTCTGGGAGACCAGCTGGGCCTGGGACTGTGTCTTGGTCAGCCCCACGGGCAGCTGCGCTTGGGACTGGATCTTCACCGCCCCCGAGCTCAGATGCACCTGGGACTGTGCCTTGGTCAGACACGTGACGAGGTGAGCCAGCGACGGGGTCTTGGTCAGCCTGGAGGGTGGGTACACCTGGGAGGGGGTCTTGGGTGATTGCGGGGCCAGGTGTGCTGGGGACCCAGCCTTGGGCTGCTTGGCCGGCGAGTGCAGTGGGGACGCCGTCATCAGAGGTGCGGCCAGCGGGGGCTGGGGCAGGGTTTTGGCCAGGGTGGTGGACAAATGTCCCTGGGACAGGACCTTGGTCTGCTCAGAAGTCAGATGCACCTGGGATGTGGTCTTCGTCAGGCACGTGGCCAGGTGCGGCTGGGGCATGGCTGTTGGTGGACACGTGGCCAGATGTGCTGGTGGGGACAGGGCCTTGGCCTGCTCCGCGGCTGGATGTAACTGGGTCACGGTCTTGGTCAGGGGTGTGGTCAGCTGCTCCTGGGGCAGGGCCTTGGCCTGCCTGGGAGACGGACGCGCCTGGCCCAGGGTCTTGGTCAGAGGGGCGGTCATCTGGGCCCGGGGCAGGGCCGCAGCTGCTTCTACAGGTACGTACACCTGGGACTGCACCTTGATGAGCTCTATCCTCTGCTGTGCCTGTGGCGGGGACTTGTTCCTGTCCTCAGCAACCTTCGTCCATGGCAAAGGCTGGGTCATTTCCATGGTCACGTTGGTCTTTGACACGGTTTCTTTCTTCACCTGCCTCTGGAGGCAGGTCCTGACCTTCTCAGGTTCCAAGGGACCCCTGGCCACAGGCTTGGGAGCCCCGGCTTCGAGGTGTGGCTGGGGGACACTCCGGACCTTCCCCTCGGCCAGGTACGAGTGGGATGAGTCCTTGACGCCGGCCGTCTGCCTCACGTTCACCATGACCTTGCCCTTTTGTGTGTTCAGGTGCACGGTGGAGCACGTGCTGGGAATTCCGGGGGATCCCGCCGCCGTCTGGGGTGGCGTTCTGAGATTGCCGACGACGGGAGGGACCAGGCACAGGGTCCGGAGGACCGCTGCCACTGAGCGGATCTGGGCTGGGGTCTTCGTTATCATGGCCGCCAGGCGCGTCTGGGGCGGGGGCTTCATTATGGAGGCACCTGGGCAAACCTGGGACGGAGTCTTGGTCACAGGGGCGGCGGCTTGGCAAGTTGGCATCTGGTTTTTGGTCGGGGCGGTCACCAGGCGGATCTGGGGTGAGGGCTTCGTCATGGCAGACACGGGGCACGTCTGTGGTGGGGGCCTGGCTGTGGTGGCCCCCGGGCGTGCGGGGCACGGGGGCCTCATCACCGAAGCCAACAGGCATACCTGGGGGGGGATCTTGGCCATGGTGGCCGCTAACCGCGACTGCAGGGGAGCGTTGGTGAGTGAAGGTGTGTGTCGCATCTGAGCTTGGGTCTTGGTCACTGTGGGCGACGGGCCTGTCTGGGCCAGGGTCTTCATGACTGTCATCATGGGTCCTGGGCCTGTCTGAGGTGGCGTCTTGGTCACTGTGGGGACGGGGGACACCTGGGCCTGGGTCCTGGTTATGGAAACCAGTGGACTCGTCTTGGGTGGGGTCTTGCTCAGGGTGGACGCTGGGAAGGCCTGGGGTGGGGTCTTGTGGATATCGGCTTCCACGTGGGCCTGGATCTGGGCCTTGAAGGTTCCAGGAAGTGCCTGGCCGTACCTGCCCGAGGGCGGTGGCTCTGGGGCCCCTGCTCTGGTGGCTCTGGTGGTTACGTGCTTGGTCTTCACCGCGTCCCCCTCCAGGTGCCTGATGAGGCAGGAGCTCCTGACGGTCTTGGTCAGCAGGCACGGCTGGCATTTGGGATCTAGACCCACCGGACTCGGAAGTCTCATGGCCATGGTCTGGTGCGGCAGGAAGGCCACCCCGTGGGCTCCGGGGCCGTGGGGAGCCTGCACTCCGGGCCCAGCCATGCCCTGGGCCGCGGGGTGCTGCAGCAGACCCAGCTGGGGGATGCAGGTGACCAGGCTGTCGGAGGACGGGAACTGGGTCTCCTTGCTCATCATGACGGGCTGCACCTGAGGGGGCTTGTCTTCCGGGGGCTGGAAGCGCACCTGCTGGGGCGGGTGGTAAGGGATGTCTCCTTCCTCCTTGCTCACCCTCTTCACCGTGACCTTGCTCGAGCGGAGAAGGCGCCTCGTGTTGAAGCGCCGCCAGGCCTCCTGGATGGCCTTGGCCGCCAACATCTGGGAGATGAGCTTCTGCCGGAGCCGGTAGCCCCTCCAGTTGGCTTGGATGAGGGTGGCTGCCCGGGACAGCATCATGTCCATCTCGTCCACCAGGATGTTCTTGAAGGCCTGGCTCTCTACCACCGCCCGGAGGCGCGGGATGCGGCGAGGCTCCGTCTTGCTCTGAGCCGGCTGTTGCGGAAGCTGCTCCTTGGACTTGCGGGCCTCATACTGCTGTGCAGACGCTCTCCCCACTTTGTCCAGGAGGCAGTGGATGGGCTGGGGTGGGGGGACGCACTGCCCACTCGGTGACAACTGGTTCATGAACTGGAGCTGTGCGGCTGGCTGCATCATCTTGGTTCCTGAGCAGGTCAGATGGGCCTGTGGGGGGGACAGGTCGATGGACAGACGGGGGGATGCAGGGGTGGGTGGGTAGATGGATGGTTGAGGGGTGGAAGTGGCTACCTGTGTGGATGGACAGATTAATGCATGTGTAGATGGGCAGGTGAATGGGTGGGTGGATGGATGGACGGATGGATGATGGATGGACGGACAGATGATGGATGGACAGATGGACAGATGGATGGATGGATGAACAGATGTATGGACAGAAAGATGGAGATGGGTGGATGAATGGGTGGATGGATGGACAGAAAAATGAACAGAGGATGCATGGATGAACGGATGGATGGATAGATAGATGGATGGATAGATGGATAGATGCATGGACAGATGGCTGAATGGATGGATAGACAGAAAGATGAACAGATGGATGGATGGATGATAGATGGATGGATGGATGGATAGACAGAAAGATGGACAGATGGGTGGATGGATGAATGGATGGATGGATGGATGGGTGGATGGACAGATGGACAGATAGATGGGTGGATGGACAGATGGATGGATGGGTGGATGGATAGGTGGGTGGATGGGTGGATGGATAGGTGGATAGATGGGTGGATGGATGGGTAGATGGAGGATGAATGGAAAGACAGATGGATAGATGGATGATGGTTGGATGCTTAGATGCATGGACAGACGTGTAGATAGAAGAATGAACGGATGGATAGATGGATGGATGGACGGGTGGATGGGTGGATGGATGGATGATTAGGTAGATGGGCAGGTGAGTGGATGGGTAAAGGGATGAATGGGATGGATGTGTGGGTGGCTGGATCAACTGCAGGTGGGAGGAGGAGCAGAAGGCAGACTGAGAGGATGATTGTGGCCTTCAGAAGTAACTTGGGACCTGTGAGTAACTCTGTGAGATCCCATCTCAAAAAAAAAAAAAGAAAGAAAAGACTCTGCCTGATTGGGAGCAGAGTATATGGCTCCGTGGCCGAGCACTTGCCTACCATGCTTGAGGCCCTGGGTTCCATCCCTAACACCAAAAAATAATACTAATAATAATCCTGGTGCCTCTGGGTTTGCAATTTGCATTTCCATTTAAGTCCCTGTAGTGATGATCACCTCGCACACAGTCGGGGCCCTATCAGATAGTCCTCCCACACAAGCTGCAGCAGGACGTACTTGTTTAGCAGAAAAGTATGTTGTTCCTCTGGCTGGATCAGCCAAAGCCCTGGCCCAGCCATCTCCTTACCTTGGAGGGTCATAGAGTTGGAAGAGGAGCAGGAGAAGAAGGTACAATCTCAGAAGCCAGCCTGTAAGAGGCGGCTGCCTTCAGCTCTTCATCACATGCACCGTGTAGCAACACTGCTCTTGGCTGGCTCTGTCCTCAAAACCAACACAAGAAGAAATGTTAAAAGCAAAAAACACCGAATTCCTCAAAAAAAAAAAAAAAAAAAAAGAGTCCACAGGAAGGAACATACTAGGAAATAGCAGGAATTCAGATATGAGTAGAGGACGCCGTGAGGTCATCCCTCACTGTTGCTTAGAAGAAGGAAAAGTGAAGACAACCCAAGGCTGAGAAGAAATAGAGTCCAGGATGGCTCCCGCCCCAGGCTCGGGGCAAAACCGAGACCCGACACTGGCTACGCGATTGCTCTGCCAGCCCAGGCCCTGTTTGACAGTATCTTGGGCCAGGCGAGGTGGCGCACGTCTGTCATCCCAGAGGCTCGGGAGGCTGAGGCAGGAGGATCATGAGTTCAAAGCCAGCCTCAGCCACAGCGAGGCACTAAGCAACGCAGTGAGACCCTGTCTCTAAATAGGGCTGGGGCTGTGGCTCAGTGGCCGGGTAACACTGAGTTCAACCCCTGGTACAAAAAACAAAAACAAAAACAAAAACAAAAAACAGTATCTTGAAGGCAACCCAGAAATTCAACCTCATGAATTGTTAAGAGTAACAACGTAGGCAACAGAGCAAGACCCTATCTCAGCAGGAAAAAAGGGTCCACGTGACAATCCAGGATCTTCAAAAACAAGTCATAAAATTATTTTAAGGGCTGTTGGGGTAATAAACACTACACAGTCTTAAATGGAAAATGCAAATTACAAAATCATAGGCACCATGATTTTTGTGTGTGTGTGTGTGTGTGTGTGTTAGGGATGGAACCCAGAGCCTCAAGCATGGTAGGCAAGTGCTCGGCCACTGAGCTGAATACCCTATTCCCAATCAGGCAGATTCTTTTTTTTATTATTTTTTGGTAGCAGGGATTGAACTCAGGGGCACTCGACCACTGAGCCACCTCCCCAGCCCTGTTTTGTATTTTATTTAGAGACAGGGTCTCCCTGAGTGGCTTAGTACCTCACCATTGCTGAGGCTGGCCTTGAACTTGCAATCTTCCTGCCTCAGCCTTCAAGATGCTGGGGATTACAGGTGT